TTTCAAGCAAGTCATGACTCAGTTGGGCATCAAACACTGCATGTCGAGTGCGTATCATGCCGAGTCGCAAGGCGCTCTTGAGCGATTCCATCAGACTCTCAAGAACATGATCCGAACCTATTGCTTTGAGCACGAAAAAGACTGGGACGAAGGAATCCACATGCTGCTGTTTGCAACCCGTGAATCCGTCCAGGAATCGTTGGGATTCAGCCCTTTTGACTTAGTCTTTGGCCATTCGGTGCGCGGTCCCTTGAAATGTATAAAAGAGACTTTGTTGTCACCAACAGCCACTGAAGGACTTTTAGAATATGTAATTAAGTTTAAAACTAGACTTTATGATGCTTGTGTTCTGGCCAAAAATAACTTACAAAACACCCAATCCAGCATGAAACGCTGGTATGATAGAAAGGCCCGTGTTAGAGAATTTTCTCCCGGGGATAAGGTGCTTGTATTTTTGCCCATACCAGGTCAACCCTTGCAAGCCAGATATTTTGGTCCCTATGAAATTGAGACCAAAATTAGTGACCTCAATTACACAATCAAAACCCCTGACCGTAGGAAAAAGACTCAGCTATGTCACATAAACATGCTGAAGCCTTATGTATCTAGGCCAGATCACTCAGAGAAGAGTAATTGTGTTTTAAATACAGTCAAAAGTTGTTCAAATAGCCATGTTTCTCCTATTGATGATGATATTGTAAAGGAGAAATTTGGACAATACAAAATACCTAATTCTTTTGTATTACAGAATTTGGATGTAAAACTGTCTCATCTGTCTTCGACAGAAAGGCCAGTTATCATGAAACTCATTAATGAATTTAATGACATTTTTTCTGATGTACCAAAACAGACTAATGTTATAATGCATGATGTAGATGTTGGCGAGGCTAATCCAGTCAAGCAGCATCCTTACAGGGTCAACCCTGAAAAACTTGCCATACTTAGGTCAGAAATCAAGTATATGCTTGAAAATGACCTCATTGAACCAAGTTCCAGTAGCTGGAGCTCCCCATGTGTCTTGATACCTAAACAGGACAAGACTTATCGTTTTTGTACAGACTACCGTAAGGTAAATGCTGTAACAAAGACCGATTCGTTTCCTATCCCTAGGATAGACGATCTCATAGATCGTATTGGTGACGCTAAGTACATCACCAAAATAGACCTACTTTCAGGTTATTGGCAGGTTCCCCTGACTGATAGGGCAAAGGAAATCTCCGCCTTTGTCACCCCTGATGGTCTGTACCAATACAAAGTGATGCCATTTGGCATGAAGAATGCTCCTGCCACTTTCCAGAGAATGATAAATGCCCTGCTTGCTGACATGGAGAATTGCCACGCATACATAGACGATGTAGTAATTTTTAGCCAAGATTTTTCTAGCCATTGTAAACAACTGCATTGTCTTTTTACTAAACTTTTACATGCAAAAATTACTGTAAACCTGAGTAAGAGTGATTTTTGCCAGGCTTCCATCCAATACTTAGGCCATATTGTAGGACAAGGCCAGGTGAAACCTGTAATGGCCAAAGTAGAAGCTATCCAAGCTTTCCCTATTCCTGCTGATCGGAAACAACTCCGAAGATTTTTGGGAATGTCTGGATATTATAGAAAGTTTTGCGAAAATTTTTCTGTCATTGCCAGTCCTTTAACAAACCTCCTGAGAAAGAACGTCCGATTTACTTGGACGGATGAATGTCAGAAAGCCTTTAACCAAATTAAGCAGATATTATCTAGCTCCCCTATTTTGATGGCTCCTGACTTCGGAAAACCTTTTAGGTTAGCTATTGACGCCAGCGACACAGGTGTTGGGTCAGTCCTTTACCAAGAAGATAATTTCCAAGTAGAGCACCCTATTTGTTTCTTTTCCAAGAAATTTAATAGACATCAAAGAAATTATTCTACTGTGGAAAAAGAATGTCTTGGGTTGATTCTTTCTATACAACACTTTGATTTTTATATCAGTGGGTCCAGATGGCCACTAGTTGTATTTACTGACCACAATCCCCTTACATTTATCCACAAAATGTCTGGCAAGAATCAACGACTTCTCAGGTGGAGTTTATTTTTACAAGAGTACAACCTAGATCTTAAACACATAAAAGGCAGCGAAAATGTTATCGCCGATGCCTTATCTAGATTGTAAAAAGTATTTTGATGTATATATTTTTTTTTATATATATCATGATAAATACATTCTGTAATGTAAATATCCTTTTTTTTAATTATTCTAAAAAGATTTCCATTTCGTGGAAATGTAAACTTTTTATTTTTAGGAGGGAGGTGTTACGTATCTAGGTAACAATGCCTAGATACTATTTTTTTTTCTTGACCTGTAGGTTGTCTGCCCCCTTGTGTAATAAGTTTTTTTTTTCTTTTTTATTCGTCAAGCCACACAGACAGTGACCGGTCCTTGACCTGTGTGTGTACCTCTGGTTTAAAGGAGGGTGTTTTTTTTTTGTCTCTTTGAAGAGCGTTCTAGATCTGGGAAATTGATGACGTATTTGGTTCGAGAAATTCCTAGATTTGTCTTGAGATCGACGCGCGGTAGATTATATAAAGACCGCCCGCGTGACGTTGACGGACAGACATACGGAGACAGCCGTGGGACAGAATAGCGGAGACATTGCGCGACCCGTGCGTGGTATACCAATTGATCGTGTAAGTTAAGATTTTTCTTTTTTTCAAGGCCTTGCTTGTATTTGTAATTATATTTTCAAACTATTGTATTGTAATATTTTTACATGCCATTTTTGTAAAAGGGTTTTGGTCAACCCTTCCATTTTGTATTGAGTTATATTTTGATTAAACATTAAGTTGATATTTTACCTTCCGATTTCTTGTGTCATTTTTTTTTTGTTATTCATTGTAAGTCTTTGATTAAATTCAGACTTAAGATAAGTGACACAACTACCTTTTTCTATTGTCACGTTCCCCTAGACAAGCCATTTAAAAGTAGAATTCAATTTGTAATACGTGACAAGTGCATACACGTCAACATACAGGTCGATAATTTTTTGTGTCCCAAACCTGTCAAGAAGGAGATTCGCAAGTCTGGGGCAGTCAGGGCTTTGCAAAGCCTGTAATACAGATTTTGAGTCAGTGACCACAACAATCTTGCCCTCAAAATTACCTCGCCGAGTTAAGAGTCAATAACCTTTAAGGCTTCACAGACTGCCATGGTCTCCGCATTAAAACTGCAAACACTACCACATGGTCCAAAGATTTTTACTGATTAAGATCCAAGAAAGTCGATGTAGGCTCCATAACCTGCTCTTCCAGAATCTATAAATGTCGACCCATCAGCATATGCAAAAATAGCACTGAGCTTGAAGGCATTAATGGTCTCTAATGCTAGAATTTGACGATCGTTAGATAAACGATATAGCTTAGTGACATTAGGGTCTACTATTTTCAAGCGTATGTCTTGGTTAGTTTGTAACAGACACACTAAACCAACACGAGCTTCAATAAACACAATGATTTTTTTAGTCTCTAATTATGTTTTTTACTCCACCCACTTATTCTCTAAACTGACCTCCTTTTACACACAGTCCTGACATACTCCTGTTCACTCAACCATGTACACTCAAGGTTTACTGGTCATTTCATACACAGGCACACACACTGCACTACCAGCCACTCAAAACACATACACTTACTATCACAGACACCAAGGGGGGAGAGTATGAAAACGTTGAATATTGTGTTGGTTGGTGGAGAGGCCAGCTTTATCAGATAGTCTAGTGGCATGTTGCATAAAAGACTGCATCTAGATAGGTCTTCTGCATTTCAAATTATCCACTAGTTTTCTATCTAGGTATATTTATACAGCCATTTATACTACTCAAAGCAGGTTAGTACTAACCTTTTCTTTCCTAAGGGTTAGTGGGCCTACATTAGCCATTATTTCAGCCGCATTTACTGAGCTTGATCTGAAGGTTCCACAGACAAATCTTTGTGCTTGGGACTATTTTTTATCAAGTTGTTCAAGAACTGTCCTAGAGCCATACATTTGCATAGGTAGGCTTTAGTCTATCTGTGATCGGACTGTTCCTAAATACATTGATCGAAGTATGTCTACTGAGGCTCCTCGCTTCGTGGATGCCACCTTCCGCACAATGCAAATTTTCCCTGAGGCTTTTCTTGCAACTTCCTGAATGTGCTCACACATTTTTATTTTGCGATCTAAAGTTACACCAATGTACAAGGGTAGCTTTTCCATGCTGAGAGCCATTCCGTTAAGAGATAGCGAAAAGGTTAGCCGAGAATGCCAGTCCCAAGCGTGAACAAAGAATAAATAGTCTTGAATGTGTTTATTTCTAGCCTTCATTTTTGGGTGTATGAGCCGAGCGTATCTTCTTGCAACACTTTTTGTATAGAGGTTGTGCTTCTACTAGATTTCCAAATGACAATATCATCAGCATATAGTAGCTTTTGACATTTTAGCGGAGCCGGTAGGTTATTTGTGAAGTATGTGAAAAGGACGCATGAAAGGACGGAGCCCTTCTCGGAGGCCTTGCTCGAAGGTCATTTCGCCTTAGACTTCTCCATACATTCTTGTTCTTATTGTACGCTCTTGTAGGAAGTATCTAATCCAGTAATATTTCTATCCCTGCACCCCCACGGCTCTTACATTATGAAGCAAACCAGGCCGCCATACTTTATCATATGCCTGTTTTAAGTCAATGAAGACTGCGTATGTGCTTTCGGTCCTCTGGAATTCATCTGCTACACTTTGCACAAAGATGTTGACTTGGTCTATAGCGGACATTCTAACCCTGAAACTAGTCTGTTCTGCAGCTATACGACGGGAAAAAATAGAAAATAGAATCTCACATGATTGTTTTGCTCTACAAATCATGTTTTCTTTTCTCTACTATCTTTACTTATTTATATTACTTTTACAAATACTTACATAATTATGTTTTTGTTCTTGGTAAAATCATTGAAGAATATTTTTGTAATGAATTTTAAAGTTCACTTGTAATTTTGTTTTATTTAGCTGGTATTAATTGTTTTATAAACATTTTAGACTTTGTACACATATTAGCATAACTATACATTTTTGTTTTGGGTAACATGTTGTTCGTGAAATATATTGTGTAGAATCTAATGTAGGCATAGTTGGAATGCATATAGTTGTAAGTTTAGACATCTATCATAAATGACTTTATAACTTTTCTTATGGCAAACAGTAATTTTAATAAATTTATTTAAAAAACAATATCTTGATATATTACAACGCAAGTAACAATATTAAAATAAATCAATAATTGTTTCTTTAGATAGTAAGTAGATGTAGAGCACTAAAGGCACATCTTTTTAATTCGAATTTTTTAAACAACGGATGTTATGCTCTTACCTAAATTTTATGCCCTACTCTAAATGCATAACGATCATCTGCTATTTATTATTGTGTATCAATCTGTGTAATGTTTTAGGTTAATAGGACGCGGACTATATAAAGTATTTCTAGTCGTAGCTTACTAAATGAAACAATATTTTTTTTTAAATTGAATGGGGAAAATGATTTAATCATTAAATATTTAATACAAATGTTGATGAGTAATAATTTTATAAAATTCTTAACAATTATTTTTAGCTATTTTTATTATGTTGAATACCATTTTGAGGGTTTGTTTTTGAGTCTTTTTTATTTTTTTTACTCTAGGGACCTCCCAGTCTCTTAATAACTTGGAAACAAACTGCAAAAGACTCAGCTAAAGAATATCCAGCAACTGGTGAAATCAGTAATTACAACACATCGCCATCTATTGTTTCTACTGGCTGTGCAATAAGTAATTATACCTCTGAACTAGAATTTGAGCTACAAGAAACTGATGATGGAAACACTTACTACTGTATAGTTTCCAACGATACTGTTGAGCAGAGCAAACTAAACTTCACTATTCGTACTTTCCCAAGTAGGTCTTGTATCTTTTTAGTTTGTTTCAATAAGCTCTTAGTCTCTGAATGAAAATTTGTTTTCTATTTTTTTCTCATTTATTTAATTTGTGTAACTCATTTCTTTTATCTAATCAAACTATTTCTTATATTTACGTTGGTTCAGTTGTACTAGATGTTTGGAGCTATTAACGAACGGGAGATCAACACCACTTCCAAAACATTCTTTGTAAGGCAACAGAGTTCGGATTTAGAGTTTTCCTTCTCCTAGGTGGGTAGCCAGCAAACGCTTATGAGCTCCTCCTGAATAAAGCTTATTGATTTGGCAAATGTATCTCGCCCTTTGCAACTTTTCCTGTCAGTAACTAAATATCCGCCGCACATAATATCAGAGCCTCACGTGAAAGACAGGAGTTCGACCGATTGCCAGAGGTTATTTAACATGCATGCATTTTAAGGCATTTTATAGGTAGTGGAGTGCCGGTTTTCATTTATACTATTGGCAATAACAACTTTATAGAACCTAATATTTAGGTAATGTAGAGTAGAAAAAAAACTAATCAATAATACTTTTTTTTCCAAAAAATCATATTTTGGTTTTTTTATCTTTCTTCCGTTTCAGCCCAACAGCCAATGGTAATCTCAACACATCATGATATAGGTGACACATTTAATATAACGTGTGATGTGACAAGGTTTGCTGACCTTAAAGTGATACCTAATTATGACTACTTGGGTGGATTGTCAGTATTTCGACAAACTTTCATGACATTAACAAAAATACAAATCGCTTCTTACGCACCTTTTACTCCTTATTATCAATATGATAATGCTGTAAGTAGATTAATATATTTAGATATATACTCCTTTATTTAATTACATACATAACTGTATTAAACTGCACTTCTTATTCAAAAAAAAAATGAATGGTACATCATAACTGCAATACTTATAAAAGCTAATAGTCTATCAAGAGAAACATTCTTCTCAACACTTTTTTTGCTGCTTTCTCTTTTCCACAAATATTATATATTATATTAGGAAAAATAGAGGACTTTCGCTCTATCGTAGGCATTTTGTGGAGCTGCTATTGCACATTGTCTTTTAAAATTTGTAATTAAATAATGTAATATAAAAATAAATTTACGAATTTGACTATAGTAAAAAAAGAGTTAAATCTAGGTGCGGAAACAAATGATACATACATATGTTAAACATAAATGAATAACAGCACCAGGGACCAAGTTTTTACGAAAGAAAGTACTGAATTAAAATACTAAGAAAATATGGGCATGCGCCGACCGATGCTCGAACCTGTGACTCCGGATTCGACTCCACCGCCTAGCGATAACGCACCTAGCGAAACTAACCTCTAGACCATTAGAATGTCCATAAAAACATTCCTTCTGATCAAGAGTCATTTCGCCCGTGTGCAAATTACCACCCCAGTGGTCAAAGTTCACATGCCCCAGCTAGCTCCTTCTCCACCCCCGCAGCATCCGTTCACTAACAACTTGGTCCCTGGTGCTGTTAGTCATTTATCTTTAATATATGTAGACTGTAGTAAATGTGAGCATGGCGGGTATGAGGGGATTGCTTGGTGTCTAGGGGATGATTTTTTAAAATTTAATACACTTTGAGACATCAGAGATATATCGAAAACAGACACATGAAGAAATATACAGAAACTTTAAAGATTTACTGAATATTTTATGTTCATAAAATATACATAAAAGAATAAAATTGTGTGTTGGGGGGACATCTATCTCTTAGTAATATAATACCATAACGTTTTGAGAGAGTATAAATCACTTTGTCACTGAACTTATTTGCTTGTCCTGTCGATGTGGCAGCTAGCTGGGTTCCTAGTAGAGGTTATACAGCTGGAGGAGGCGCTTAGTGGGTAGAGTATCGCCGCTGACTTAGTGCTTGTGGAGTCTCAATCCAAAGTCACTACGGTCTGTTGTGGGCACAGTTGATCGGGTGGTCTGCTACCGTGGGCACGAAGTGTGCTGCGGTCAGAGCTGATCTGCCGAAGGCAGGATTATCAACAGGATAAGTCCAGAAGTTTAGATGAGTAGGTTAGATTGTGAAGTCTCGCATGGTCACGTGGCCTTAGGTAGTAGTGTCTAATAGGAAAGTGGTATCCAGGAGGCACGTAATGCCAAATGGAAAAAATAGCGTCAAATAAGTTGACCATTAGGTTGACCAGTAGGTTAACCGGTAGGTATTCTAATAGGCAGACACCTGTACGAGACTGCTGATAAAAAAGACACGTTTAACCATTTCTCTCATGCATCTTATTGATGCCCTCAACTGAGTTGCAATCGTCTGATTGGTAAAAATGCTTTTCAGACTAATGGGGGGGGGGGGGGATAATGACAAATTAAATTGGTAAAATAGATGGCTGATAGTAGCAATAAAAAACGTACAAAATAAGGGAGATTACTATCCTGATCAGGCATATTCAAGCTTCTTTTACTTGTATAAAATAATTGAAATTTCAATAAATCATTGGGCATTACTTCTTATTTTAAATCATAAATGTATACGTCATCAATAATAAGAATCTTCTGGAATAACGATTTAAGATAGAGCTCCTCTGAAAGCTACATAAAGGGATCATCTCTAAAAAAGCAGAGAGACCTTAAGACCTTTCAGAACGAACCTTACCTAAAAAAAATCGCTTATTATATTAAAGTAGCCTACATATCACTAAGATTGCATGAGTGGATATAATTATGATACTAACATTGCTTTAGTTTTTTAGTTTAAAAAAGGAAATACTTTTACATCGTGCAGTTATGAAAGATCCTGATTATACACTTGACAACAATCTAAATTAGACTAAATAGAGGCCATATATAGATCTATAATTAGATTTAACCGTATAAATATCTTAAACAAAATTTATAACTTAATTGCTTATCTTCTTACAGCTAAGGAGTGCAGATTTATTTATTAAGTTAAGAAAAAAAATCTAGTCTAGATCTGATTATTTTATTTTACTCTTTTGATCTTAAAATTACTAAACAAATATAATAGGATTAGAAGATCTAGTGATATTTAGTTCCTAGCGGTAAAAGTGTTTATTATACTGTTCAAGTTCGCTTCTTAATTGATTATAGTGTAGATCTAGATTTTAAATCTTTAAAGTAGATATAAATTTAGAGTTCTAGATTTAGTGTTAGTCAAACAAATATAGATCAAGCAGTAATATGTGTATTTTAAAGCATAGATGACACCCTATTCTAGATGAACATTAGTGCTGCTTCTAAGTGTGTGACATCCAAGTTAGAAAAATTATATCGTGGCAAACGTGTACAAATAGAAAATATAATATTTGAATCACTAGACATATGCTCAAATATGCCTAGACATATCTAGATGGTAGTTTATTTCAAATGACACAGCACAACGTTATACAATTTCTGTCTTAAAGTATAACAAAGGAAACTTGGTAAGGCGATGTTAACTTCTGTTTCTAATTTAAACTACATTGTAAAATTTGCAATATCAATTTAATAAATGTCATAAACAGTGAGATATTGAAATAAAGATAACACTTATTTTACAATTGAGTAACAATCACTAAAAATGGGTAATCATCTCAGTGTATGGGTTCATCGAAAATAACTAACTAACAATACTGTTTATTAGAACATATTTGAAGAAAGTGACACCCTAAGTTAATCTTAAAGGATGACACCGTCAAGAGTTACGCTAATGTCTGAGAGTTTTTAACTGTTCATAAATGATCAGTCAAAACAGCTCTACTCTTAATGGATCTCTATTTCAAATCCTTATTCCAGAAGATTTATGAGAGTCTTATCATTGATGACGTGTTGTCTTATTTGATTTTATGTGAAAAGAACGCCAAATGATTTTTAAAATTTTAGTTCTTTATAACTGAATATTTTTTTTACTTTAAGACACGACCGTACTTGAATACTCCTGATCCATATATGAATTCCTATGCGGCCACCTCTAAGTTTATTTTATGCTTTTTTATGTTGGATTCTAGATTTACTTAATACATATTGTAATTTTAATTTTATTAAGAAAACAAATTATAAAACTTGTGAAATTTGAAAAAATAAATAAATATGTTTTTCTTTTTGTAGTCGACTTTTATAATACTAAACAACCCCCCAAAACAGTGGCTATTTCAATCAAGTGGAGGTGAAAGTCTTACAAACAGAAACAAAATTCAAATCATTGTGACAGCAGTCAAATTTCAGTGTAGTGATGCTGGTGAATACTCATGCAGAGCTGATTTACCAACTGGTGAAACCTTTTTTAATAGTCCTGCGAACATAACAGTTAAAGGTAAAGTCTGTCTTGCTCAGCAGGGAGAAGTCTTCATTGTCATGCGCAGCTGGTTGTGTGTGTGTGTGTGTAATTAAAATCAAACATTTATTATTGTATTGAATTGTATCAATATGTTTTATTTTAAAAGCATTTTGCATATATTTTAAATTTTATTTCACATTTATTTTACAGTCAAAGCCAAAATTATGTAAGTATTTTGTATAATCAACATACTATGTCATTGTTTTTTAACCATATATATTTCTTAAGGCACACAGATACTATAACATTTTACTAAGAAATGTCATAAAAAATAAATATTATAATTATTTTTTTTGTAGATTGGCTTTTAATCTTTCATAAAACAGAATATTAATAATAAAAATAATATATAAAATTATTACAAATAAAAAAACATTGTTAATACAAATTTCCTAAAATCGATGTTTGATGTGTGCTTTAAATCTAATTTGAATTATATATTGCAAAATTATTATGACTAATTCTCCGTGTTTGTGAACAGTAGGTGGTTGGGGGTCATTTAGACATAACCTTTTAAATTAAGAGCTCACTGTTGAAACCCATAAAAGATAGATAAAGACAGGAATTATTATTACCACCAGGAGTTACACTCGGAGCTGGTAACATTTTTGTAATAACAGACAGACGCACAAAGCTCACTTCATTCAATACAAAGCTTGAATAGAAAACGTTATTTTTTTAATTTATTTATGTCTAAACATTTAGTTAGCCATTTTCTTGTGAGTGAAGAACAGAATATTGGTTTTGAGATTCAAAGTCTAATGATAACCCTTCAGTAAATAATTGATGTGAAGCAAATTAACACAACTTGATTTAATAAATACATTTTTACCTTAAGATTGCTTTCTAATTTGAGTACTTAGCAAACCCTACATCGTGCATTTTTTAAAATGCAAGACATTAGTAGATATTAATTGAATATATAATAAGTTTCAATTTCTTAAAAAAAAAAATATCTATCATGTATGATTTGATATCAGCAGGCTATTTTTAAGTGAAAATTAGATCAGTTGGAGTAGAAGTTTCCCTGCTGTTCGTGTCGATTTGTATGAACTTCATATCGCGAGTGCATAAATCCTTATACAGTATTGTGGACGACCATCAGTTCTCCTGCCATTCGTTAGGTAATCATTCAGATACGTTATGGAAGTTGACTTTCTGGCATTTTATGAAC